GCAGTTTTCTGTGTCTGTTTTGTAGTTTAGTCTCTTGTTTGGTGGTGTGTTAATTATGTGGAGCATTTCTAATGTGAAACGTTTATTATAGTGTTGTTCTTGCTGTAATATGCTCACAGCTTCAAAATCGGGATTGTGTCCGCTCTCTGCACGGTGGGCCGCTAGTGCAGTTTTTTGTGTGTTACTGGATGCTCTACATTTTATGTCCGATCGGTGTCTTGATATTCTTGTTCTAAGTTTGTTCTTTGTTGTTCCTACATACTCTTTTTCACATTTGTTATTTTCATCACCAGCACATGGAATCCTGTATATAATATTGTTTCTGTCCATAGTTATCACTTTGCTTTTCATATTGCTAAAAAAACATACCAGTTGTATAGGCGGGTTTGATTGCTATTCTAATGTTTTCCTTGTCATATATGTCTGAAGCTTTTAATCTGTCCGAGAAACCTGGTATGTATACTACCGATTTGTACGATACTGCTGTTTTTTCGCTACTTTTCGTATTTTTACTTGGTTTGTGTGTTTTTATCATCCTATGTATCAGTCCAGTTGGGAAATCGTTGCTCTTTAGTATGTTTATTATCCGTTTTTTGTTTTCCGGGTGAAACACTACGTCACTTGTGTCTAATACTCTATCGATAAAGTTTTTTGCCGTATTTATTATCATATTCTTTGGGTGTTTCGATTTATAATTTATTATGCTTATTAATACTTGACTAATGTTTTAAAAAACCTGACAACAGAATCCAAATTTAATGTAAAGAGTGCAATAGAATTTAAAGACAAGGTTAATGACTCCTATATATGTGATGATGAACGTCTTGTTTCGTTTGATGTGGTGTCACTATTTCCAAGTATACCAACGGATTTGGCTATACAGACTATACAGACAAAGTGGAATGACATTAAGAAACACACGGATATACCAAAAAAACTTTTTATGGAAATACTGACCTTTTGTATCTCAGAAAACAGATATTTTAAGTATGAAGAAACAATTTATACACAATTAAAAGGACTTCCGATGGGATCTCCAGCATCACCGATAGTAGCCGACATTATTATGGAAGAAATTTTGACCAAAGTGACAAACACGAGATTACTTAGTAAATACATAGATGGACGAACTGGAAAAAACAATGGATACATTAAACTCATATTACAAGGACATCAAATTTACGATGGAGTTAGAAGCAGATAACAAGTTACCTTTTCTGGACTCTTTGGAGTGCAAAATGGACAACAAAATAAAACTTGACTGGTATCAGAAGCCCACATCTTCAGGACGCATAATAAATTATAAATCGAAACACCCAAAGAATCTGCTAATAAATAAAGCATACAACTTTATCGATAGAGTATTAGACACAAGTGACGTAGTGTTTCACCCGGAAAACAAAAAACGGATAATAAACATACTAAAAAGCAACGATTTCCCAACTGGACTGATACATAGGATGATAAAAACACACAAATCAAGTAAAAATACGAAAAGTAGCGAAAAAACAGCAGTATCGTACAAATCGGTAGTATACATACCAGGTTTCTCGGACAGATTAAAAGCTTCAGACATATATGACAAGGAAAACATTAGAATAGCAATCAAACCCGCCTATACAACTGGTATGTTTTTTTAGCAATATGAAAAGCAAAGTGATAACTATGGACAGAAACAATATTATATACAGGATTCCATGTGCTGGTGATGAAAATAACAAATGTGAAAAAGAGTATGTAGGAACAACAAAGAACAAACTTAGAACAAGAATATCAGGACACCGATCGGACATAAAATGTAGAGCATCCAGTAACACACAAAAAACTGCACTAGCGGCCCACTGTGCAGAGAGCGGACACAATCCCGATTTTGAAGCTGTGAGCATATTACAGCAAAAACAACACTATAATAAACGTTTCACATTAGCAGGCTGAGACTTAGCAGGTGCTAAAAGATCGTAAGCATCGCGTGCACGGTGGAGAGAATACAGAGGTGGCGCCGATGACGATACCGCTACTCGGCTGTCAGTGATTTTGACAGAATCAGCTGTTTTGGTGACGTCATAGTAGAGAAGACAGCAGTAGTGATGTGCTGAGTCAATACTTTTAAGTACCCAATACTCTCGATACTCGGTACCGAAACATTTAGGTTTCGAATAAAAGCGCACATAGGCCAAAAATATGGAAAAAACGCCTAACAAAACCCGAATGTAAGAGCCAATAGAGCTTTTTTACTGATTCAAATGAAAGATGTATATATGTCGGTTCGATGCCATAATACAGAGAAACCCTTACTTGTTTGAAGCATTTTTGTTCCAGCTGAATCGGACGATATCATTTTTGTAGGCCTGGGACAGATTCTGTAACCAGTTAACGACAATTTTCGAATCGGTATCGGTTTTGTCGACGTTTGATATCAAATATTTGTAAGTCAACAAGTGCGATATCGATCCGAAACTTGTCGCTAACTGGCTACAGAATCTCTCCCCTGAAAGGCTTCTTCATCCGTCAAAGTATTTTTCTTGAACCTTGGATCGACTAAGGTTAAAACTGATAAAATAATATTTTTCTGTGGCGATAAGTTCAAGTGTTTTAGCCGATATCATATAAATTAGTAATGAAAGTTTTTTCTAAACCTGAAATGCATATAATGGCGAGGATTTAATGTAAATAATCGGTATCGGATACCGAAAAGGAAGTATAGGGTACCGAAATCTTTTTTAAGTATTGGGTACCGAGTATTGGGGACAATTCAGCACATCACTAGTCGCCCTCATTCTTGCCGCTCTCAGTTGTCAACTCTACGATGACGTCACCATGGTTGCCACTCGCCAACATTTTTTTCTACCAAAACTTCTTAAGAAAAGTTACCAAAAGTTACCAAATCTTCACTTCTTCACTGAAAAAAAATATATACTGAATAAAACTGCTATATTTCACAACAAATGTGTATATACTTACAGCCCGTTTCTGTGACTTAATAAATTCAATATTTTTATAATTTGTCAATTTTTGATTATTTATCAAGAACTCCCAGTTCTAGCACAGAAATTTAAATAAATCTATTTTCTTGATAAATTATCAAGATTGAAAATACTATTGACAATTAATATAATTTTTTTTTATTAGAAAATATTTTTCTTACAAATAATTGTTGCATGTGCCGTTATTCTCATTTTCGTTGTTGGTGTTTCCGACAGGGTAGGAGTATGGTGTAATGTGGAGCGATTTTCCATCAACCCTTGTCAAATTTGGTTTGGAGACAAACCGGTTTCGACGTTGTGCCAATTTCAGTGTAATTTTTCGTTCGGAATGTGCCGATATTCGCGACTCACGGAATAATGGCACCGGCACACAAAAAAAAGTTGCGGGTGCTTTTAACCGCCCGTTTGACTCGTACAAAATTTCGAGTAAATTGCAAAAATTGCAAATTTTTTTGCTAGTTTTAGCTTTTTCATAACTTAGTGTACGTGTCAAACAGACCTCAGATTTGCATTCAGTGGGTCGAAATACATGTCGGTCTAGTAAAAAGCACGCGACATTTTACTACACTATTAAAATGTGAGATGAGAGTTGTTTTAGTAGTGCAGCCCTTGGTGCTGCCACTGTAATTGAAATATTTCCAGTATTCGAAAATGAGATGACTTTAATTTTATCGAAGTAACTTTGTACAAGTGTCAATAGTGTTGCCACTGAAACTCGAAGGGCTTTTATAATTACGCACATGCAAAACATAATTAATTTCTTTCTAGTAATGCAAATAGATATTTAGTTGCAAAAGTTACCAAAATGAGATAAAAGTTACCAAGTTACCAAACCGTTTAAAAGTTACCATTTTTGGTAGAAAGTTACCAATTGTGGCAACCATGGACGTCACGCTAAAATTACTCTCACGAATTCTGCTGCAATCGGCGCAATCTTGTATTCTATCATTCTTGCCTCTGCACATTAGAAATGCTCCACATAATTAACACACCACCAAACAAGAGACTAAACTACAAAGCAGACACAGAAAACTGCGCCCACATATACAGACACCTGCTTGACACTTGTAATATCAGTTCTAAACTGCACGACAAACGAGACGGACGTCGTGGAGCTAAAATTTAATCAATGTATGTACGTATTTATGTATGTTTTTGATGGTTAGCTTTTGCTTGTATGTTAATAAAAAAACTTGTGTAATTGTTGTAGCCCCTGAAGACGATCTCCGGCGGAGATTGAAATATATTGGGAAGGAATGTATTTTCATGTGTTTTAATTCCATCAACACCCTGACCTCAAAGCCGGCATTAAAAAGGATTACTTGATTAAAATCAAACAGGTCGCAGTACAAAACGGATACAGATTGACCCTTAAAAACTTTTTATTGAATTCAATGTTCCAATTTTTAAATTCAAATACTAAAAAAAACATTATTAAAAATTACTAACCTTTCCATTTTTATTTAAATAAATCACCTAATTTACTCACCTAAATTATTTCTTAACAAGTAAAAAAGTCTAAGTTCGGGTGGAGCCGAACATTAAATACCCGGCGCAAGTATTCAATAGAGTTGTTTCACCTTTCCGAAGACTACCGCTACATGGTAAGCAGTGGTGGCTTTACGTCTATTTCAAACATCTTCGGTAGAACGTTCAGTTAGATGTAATGAGATAAACTTATATAGATATATGGGTCGTTCTTAAAAAACATGACCATTCTGAATTTTGTAATTTTTAAAAATTAAGTTGGCCAAATATGTTTATAATTGGCCTCATGTGGTTACGGATGGTATCAACAATAGGAATCCATAACCAGCAGTATTTTTTTTTAATTTTTGGAGTTTTTGGAGTTAATAAGTCACAGAGTGGACCGGTAACAGAGGGGACAAATTAACTCAAAAATACCATATTTTAGCTTTTTATTCGAATTTTGGAGAATTTATTTGTCCACTTAATTAATGTACATAAAATATTTATAAAAAAATTATAAAATAAATAAAAAATCACTTTACTCACCGTTTTTCAACAGTAACAGAGTTGACACTGAATAAGGGTACGTACCCGGCATACAATTGGGTTCCTTACTCAACAACGCACTAAACAAGACTGAACAGTTCAAAACACATTTTGTTGATTTTAGCTAAGTTATGATGGAGAAGCATAAGAGAAATATACGCGTCATAACGTTTAACAAACATTTTTCAATAAAATGAGTGGACGTAACAGAGGGGACCAAAACCTGGGGACACAAATTTTCTTCATAAAAATTATACAAAAAAATTATTTTTCATCATTCTTTTCTATATATGGTATTAATATACACAAACTGAATAACAAAAATTGTAAATATTATTTTTTTTCAATTTTATTTCAACTGAAAATAACTATTAAATTTTTATAAATTGGCTCGGGACACAGGTTTTTGCTAAACCTTTGACACTGCAAATATTTTTTAAGTTATTTTCAGATAATTAATTATTTTTTTTTATAATATAGTTACGTAGATAATTTATAAAAATGCAGATATTTTTCTATTTTCTTTTTGAAGAAACAAAATATAAAATAGTAAAGTCTGGGGACACCAATTGGTCATGTTTTTTAAGAACGACCCATATGTGGTCGGCACCACGCCCGATTTCCAAAATTCCATAATAATGTTACTTCTTTTCAAGGGATTGTTGTTAGTATAAATTTTTGGTAAAGTTAGCTTCCTAAAATTTCGAAATATCAAAGTTTCAAACATTTCTGAAATTTACCGTTTTTCTAAATAATTATTGCAAAAATTAGTTTTGAATAAATTACTGATTTATAGAAGCTTTGGTATTTCTCTAAAATATCGTTATATGGGATGTGGGCGTGGTTATTATCAGATTTTCTAAATTTTATGCCGTTTGGTGTGTTTTGTGAAGGCCAACAACTGTGCCAAGTTTGGGAGAAATTGGTGGAGCGGTTCCCAAGATATACACATGTAATCATAAGTGGGAGTGGCTACGCCCATTTTCCAAAAATTTATAATATTCTTATTTTTCGCCTAAAAATGATTTTAAATATTAATTTTGAGTGAATAAGCTTCAGGTGTTAATAAAATATCGCAGTTTTCGCATTTCTCAAAACTGCCGTCTTATGGGAGGTGGGCGTTGTTATCGTCTGATTTTGCCCATTTTCAGTACCATCCGTCCACCGCTCAAAAGAAGTACACATGCCCAGTTTCGTTACGATATCTCAATTTGTACTCGAGTTATCGTGTGCACAGACGGACGGACGGACGGACACACAGTCACCGCTTAATCGATTTCTCTTTTCATTCTGATCATTTATGTATATATTTGTCTATATCTTTCTCGACTCGTTTTAACTGTTACAAACAACCGTTATGTGAACAAATTTATAAAACCCTTGTGCACAAGTGCGCTCGGGTATAAAAATACTTGACATCTGCATCCGCATCCGCGGATGTTAGCGTTTAAACCAAGGAATGAAACCGTAACCCAAACCGAAACCGTAACCGTTTAAAACCGTTTCGTTTTTCAAAAC